TAAAGTTGTATACATAAATTTAAATATATTCGAAAAATGTATAAAAATATATCTGGATAAATTCGAATGGATATATGCGAATATATTCGAAAAATATATCCGAATAAATTCGAATCACACAGATATATGTGAATATATTTGAAAAGTGTATCTGAATAAATTCGAATACACGAATATATGCGAATATATTCGAAAATGTATTCAGATAAATTTGAATAAATGAATATATGTGAATATATTTACATATTTATCTGAATAAATTTGAATATTTAATGTGGATAAATGTGTGGGTGGTTAAATATATCCAGATATATTCAGTTCAAATATATTCAGATATATTTGCTATTAAAAATTTTCTGATATATCACCACCTTAATACATTTCAACATTTAATTTTTATTATATTTTTTTAGGGACTTAGAATTTTTTGAATCTAAAATATTATTTGTTACATTTATATATCACCTAGGTAAAATTTTCCATGGTTAAATTAATGAAAAATATCATGTGATATTAGTTAATCAACCATATAAGTCACAGATAAATTGTACAAGTCACTATTTATATAGTATAAAATAGTATTTTGTACTGTACAATTTATTTGTATACCTATTGTGATCAGATACCTAGACATTTGAATATTAGAAGATGGCAAAAAGAAAAAATAACTTTATAAGATAACTAATAATATTATTAAAATAAACAATATTTTAAAATGAAAGAAATTAATTAATAAACAATTAAGATATATTATAAATTATATAATATTTTCTCAAATTAAATATTTATTAATTGATATAATTTTGTTTAATATTATAATTAATAAGTTAAATTCTAGAATCAAATAATATTTTAAGAACAGTATAAGATTTCAATTTTCTTTATCAAATAGTATTTTATATTCTTATTGAGAATATTATATATTTAATATAAATAATTAATAACTATAATTACATATAACTGAATTAATTAACAGACTAAATATAAATAATGAATGTGAAATCACTATCAAAATTAGATTACAATATTTACAAAATCAAATATGGTCTAATAAATTTATATAGCAATTATTTACTAAATTCTAGTAGAGTTTTACACACTTTAAATTAAATGGTCAATAATTAAATTATTAATAAAAAACAAAATAAATTACTATTATCATACAAAATTAATTTCTAATTAGTTCTACCAGTAATAATATTTCCTTATAAAAATTTATAAATTCTGTACCCTGGTATAATATCAATAGAGAAGCTTGTAGAAAATACAAAGTCTTATTTATTGAACAACTTATAAATATTGATATGACAAAAATCTTAAAATGATCAAATATTGATCAAGTGAATTAACTAGTATAGTACCTTATTGGTTTAATGAAGTTTATATAAAAATTAATACAAGATAAAAAGAAATTATTCAATTAGTTAGATTTAATTCCTTCAATTAAATATAATTAATAGTTTCTGAAATGATAAAAAAATAATTAATAATGATAACTAATTCTAAACCTACTTGTTAATAGGTCAAATATACAAAGCTCCAAAGGAATTGTTTCTGTTAGACAAATGTTATGGATGATATTAAATGTTCTCCTATAGTACCATGTAACAAATATAATATTAACAAAATACAAACAACTCAATTTATTACAAAAGATATAGATAACTTATCAAAAAGTTATATATTTGATGTAAATATTGATAATTTATATACTCTCCTATATCAAAAATCTGTAGTATCTCTTAGTAACAAAAATGATCAAAAAAAAAGTAACAGATTACTACTGTCTTCTTTTTCAATAAATATATTTATTAAATAAATTAATCACTCAAAGTAGAAGTATCTTAGATTACAATATTTAATGACTAATATTGAAAAAAAATTTTAACCTTTTCTATAAAATTCAACAAAAAATAAAAGATGCATGGACATTACTTGTAACTTAAAAGAAAATAATTGTATATATTGATAGTTCTATAGTATCATGTAATCAATTGTAAATTCCTATTTCAAAAATAAATAAAAGTGAAGTCATGAGTTTTGGAATCATATTTGAGGTTCTAGAACTAGATGATCTGATAGATATTTGTGAAAGAATAAAAAGTCCTCTTTCATCAACAAGAGTAAAACTATGGACTATTTTAGTAGTATTATATATTGTTTCTAATTTTACAACAGTAAAAATTAACATGAACAGTTTTTCAGTTATCTGGATTCTTAAAAGTTTTTAGAAAATAAAAAGGAAAAAGTATGAAGTAATTATAAATCCTCAATATTACTTTAAGTGATTGTTGAACTTATTAAAGAAAAACAAATAGAAATTGATCTAATAAAAGTAGAAGCATATAGTAATATTTTCTTAAATGAGCAAGTAGACGTGTTAACAAAACAGAGACTTTTATATATAGGAAAGTGTGATATAAATAAATAACAACTGAAAGATAGAAAGGCTTTATTCAATTGGAACTATAAAAATATCAATACTTCAATTAAAGAATTTATAAAGAAAAAGTTAAAAATCAAATGGCTTGTAAAATGGTATATACAATATTATACGTAAATCAATACATAATTAATTCTACTGATTGGATATTCACATGGATATTCATACATGAAATCAAAATAGTAGCAAATTACACCAGTACTGAAAATTCAAAAATATCATTCTTTCAATATTAAAATACTAAATGACAAATTACCTGTAATGAACAATTTAAACTTGGAATTTATACAACCAATAAATGTCCATTTTGTAAAACTCAGATAGAAGGTTCAATACATACTTTGTGTAGGGATCAGGTAAAGAAGACAAAATCTAAATTTGAAAATAAATTATTGAATGCAATATTGGAATACAAGGGTAGGGAAATGGCTGATAAAGTAAAACAAGATTTAAATGACACCACAATTTTCAAAATAGACATTTTCTGACAAATTAATGGAACTTCTTCCACAGACACATTTGGATTAATGGATTGTATCTGAGGTCTAGTTCTGGTTACCCTAAAAAATCTATTATCAAAAAATGGAGGTAATATAGTAGATAACAAATTAATTTTAAAAGAATGGTATAAAAATTGTCACGAATACATGTTTGACATATGGATTAAGTATACAAAAAAAATATTAGAATGGGAAAAGTCAGTAGGGATAACAAATGGAAAAAAGTTATGGTGCAGAACTTAAACATCCTGATTATAATGATACAAAAAGAAATCTTGAACATTCTGCAAACAAAATAATTAATAGAACAATTAACACTGTATACTGTACTAGCACTAAATTTTTTAAAACAATTTTTTGTAATATTGACTTTAGTAGGGTTGTAACCTCCTAAATAAAGAGAATTTCAGGATTTTCTTTATAGTGGCTGGTTTAGACCGTTAGTATTATAGTCAGTTTTTATTCTATATATATTATAAATTTAAATTATTTTCATAAATAATGCATATTTTAATATTGAATAGAGATGAAATCTCACTGGTTGTTTAAAATTAAAATATATAAATAACATGGAATTGTTGAATCAAAAGAATTTTAGCAGTTCTCAAATAAAAACTGAATCTTGTTATATCATTAAATTTTTTATCAAAGAATTTATATCTGGAATACAAAATGGGGATGTTTACATATATAGTATAAGTTATGTTAGTAAAGGTTCTAGGAGAGTATTAAAGAATTACAATTTTGAATAGGGAGATATTGCATTGTTAGTACATATAATGAAATTAGAAATTCTTTGTAAAATTTAGTAAACTAAGATAATAAATTTATTTAACTAAATAAAATTATTACCACAATAAAATATGGGAATTTCACTGATTAAAGAAGACCCTAATATGAAATTCATTATATTATGTTTGTATTAAATATTTATAAATGTAATGATGTTTTTGTCTTGGAAATATCTTAAATTTTATAAAAATAAATAAAAATCATTACATTCAAATTTAAACAAATATATTATTATTTGACAAGTACAAGACACTAATAAATACTTTCCATAGAGAAATTAAAGAAGTTTAGGAACGTGAATTTCTTTAAAAAGGATAATAGAACATATCAGATAAACGTTATTACACTTTTTTAAAAGATAATTTGTAAAGTTAGAAATTAGAGAACACATAAATTTGATAAAATTGAAGACGAAATTGATGAATTGGTAAAGGTAAAGATAATAAATGATGCAGATCACTACCTTCTCATACGTTTGCATTTACTCTGATATCATGGTATGTCTTCATATATACATATATAATAAATGAACATACTTTTTATTTTACACGAATATGTTAAGGAATTATGATCATTAATACGTTTGAAAACATATATATATATATATATATTCTTGGTCTCTACAATTGCATTGGTAAAGGTTAGTCTGTCAACATTTATGTGTTGATAATAAAGCACTTAAAATTTATGAGGTCATTTCAAAGTCATTTATTAATGTGGAAGATAAATTATTTGTACATTTGTTTAGATAATTTTATTAATAAAATTATTATGATTTATCATTAACGAATGCGTGAATTATGATTTATAATGTATAACTGATTTTTCTAAGATCATCGAATCACAAAAATCCCATTCTTCTATTATATACAATATTTTGCAAATAAATTAAACATTTTGAACCTCTTACCAATAAAAATTGGTTCATCACTTTTTACGACAGAAACAAAATTTTCATAATTTCAAACGATTTAATATTAATAATAATCAGGATCATCAATAAAAGTCTTGGTAGAGTAGTAGTAGTTGTTGTTTGTTAGTAGTAGAGTAATATTAATAAAGTAATTAGTAGAGTAATAATAATATTAGTCGTAGTTAGTAGTATTAGTAGTTGCGGTGGTGATGATATTTAATAATATTGCGTTTTTGTCTTTTGGAAGGGGAAATTTCCATTTCATTGCTGAACGCCTTTTCTGCTGGTCGCTTAAGTTTTTCTCGTCGTAACAAGGAATTAAAAGCAACCATCACTTTTTGATGATCTTCTTCTGTATATAAAGATGGTGGTGGCGGAACAACGTATGAACAAGCTGAAATATTGTTATTGCCTATAATATATTTGGTTAAATTGTGTACCCATTCGTGATATTCCGGTTCCGAGACATTTAATCGAAAATCCAAATTGATTAAAAATTCTTTTTCCATTATATTTAGTTGGGAAACAGAGATATTTAAAGTATCTGACCAAGCTTTATTGCCATAGCTAATATCATTTAAAAATTTATTGGCTAACATGAGGGCACAAATAAAGACTTGGTGTTCTGTGCCATGATCAATTTTATCTTCAAGACGTTTCATCTTCAATTTCGCAATATACAACAATGCCAAAATAATTTCTGAACTAGAAAACGAGCCAGCAGAAAATATTTGACAACAAAACTTTTTGAACTCGTAGCTCGGCTCATAGCTTACAAAATCACCTCGAATACCTTCACCGGAAGAGTGGTCTCCGAACAAAATGAAGTTTGTCATGCGAGCAGCAAAGTTTGGTACGCGTTTGAAGAGTTCTTTACCAAGCACACACATAATTGTTATTATTATTTGTTATTGTTATTTCTGTTTGTTGTTTGTTGTTTGTTACTTGTTATTGGTGAAGTTGAAGTGAAGTGAAAAAAATAACCGATTAACTAAAAAGGATGTTTTGAAAATAAGTTATAATATTACGCGAAAGGTGTTTTGAATTTAAATGAGTTTTGATTGGGTAATCATTAGATTATCCTTAGATCGGGATGATCACTAACCTCATGTAATATATGAAGTCGAAAGATTTTTTGCCCAGAATTTGGATTATTAGCTAATTCTTGGATAGATCTGATGGTTGCAAAGATGTAAAGATGTAAAAGATGTAAAAGATGTAAGAATTGCGTTAAATAAATTCATTTTAGAACAAATTAAAGAATACTATACATTAAAATTTATTATTATTATTTTTTTTTATAATAATAAGTAAAACTTCCCTAATATTTACACTTAAATTAAATTAATCGATTTAATTACAGATATTATCTAAATAATATCGAAAGTAGTCAAATTATTTGATGAATGTAAAAGTATATATCAAATATTATTAAACTATTATAATATTTGCAATATCTCAATAATCTCAATGACTAATGACAAAACTTATAATGCGCATGTAAACTTTTTATATTTAATATACTTAGTCATCTGTTATAATAATTAAACTTTTTTTTATATTTAGTCATCAGTTATAATAATTATACTCCGACTACAAAAAATACTAACTAAAAACTGTATAGTAATTATTTAACATTATTTATGAACTTTCAACGATTTTGAATTTCCCGATTGAATTTCGTTGTCCAAATAAATGACATATTTATCGTTAATATCGTTAATATCGATAAAAAATTCGTTATGCCACAATCAATAAATATACAAAAAACTTGTCATTATATATCATCATTATTTCATTGATTTATATAACTATTCACTTTTTCATTTATTTATTTTTTCACACAAAAAAAAAAAAAACTATAAAATCAAATCAAATGATTCTAATCATTGATATTTTTTTTCCTTTAAACAAGCACCGACCAAAAAAAAAAGCCAAGTCTTTATGAAATTGCGTCAATTGATCAATGATAAACAAAAAATCTGCAATTTTTTTTTTTTTTATTTTATGATTAAATTTTGGTTCTCTCTGGTTTTTTTTTTAATAATTAAGAAAATCGAAAAAATATTATTATAATAAAACAAAAAATAATTTATTCTTAATATATAATATATATAATATATATCTATCTATCTAAATTAAACCTTTCTACACATATATATATATTAATGAAGGTGATAAATTTTTTTATTCCATTTTTTATAAAAAGTTTTCAATTTCTTTTTAATTAACTTGTTTAACTGTTTCAATTCATCGATCTAAAAGATTATTAATTCTTACAAAAAAATTGAATAATTCATTCATTAATTCATAGTCCATTTTTTATATCCTTTTAATTCCTTTAATATAATTATAGATATTACAAACACTATTGTGATAGAAGATTGATTATTACAATATTTATATTATTATATCTTCAATGATCACCGCTACGTTCCCGTCAACAATGATGATCGATAATGAAAATAATAATAACGATAATAATGGTAATAATGATAATTCCAATGATTTTTTTTTAAGTCTTGGAGATGACAATGTTGTTGATAGTGGTCTACATCATTCATTCTTATTTTCTTCACCAACATCACAATCACATTCTTTACATTCTTTACACTCTTTACACTCAAATCCACTACCATTGTCACACCTACCACCACCACCATCACTACCTCACTTACATTCATCACAACTATCACATTCACGCTTACATTCATTATTACAATCACATCGTGAAATGTTAAAAGATGAAAACAATGACAACAACAACAACAATAATAATAATGGTGGTGGTGGTGATAACAATCACATTTTTCATTATCAATCAATTATTCCTTATCGTCACGTAAAACGTCGTCGTCGTTTAACTGAAGAAGAAACAAATATTTTAATTAATACATTTGAAAATGTTCAAAAACCGGATGCCGAATTACGTACCCAAATAGCTACTCAACTTAATATGTCATCGAGAGCTATTCAAGTTTGGTTTCAAAATCGTAGAGCTAAAGTAAAGCGTGATGCTTTGGAATCTAAAAATGCTGTTAAGATAAATAAACCAAAGAAATTAACTTTATCGACAGATTATTATCGAGAGAAAAAATCAGTAGATTCAATTACAAAAGATTCAAATTCGATAAATGCATTAAATAATTCAAATTCAAATGGTTCAAATAATTCAAATGATTCAAATGATTCAAATAATTTAAATAATTCAAATAATTCAAATAATTCAAATAATTCAAATAATTCAAATAATTTAATGACAGCAAATGATTCTTCTTCAATAACTAACACTAAGACAAAATCTCAAAGAATTCAAAGTTTTACAAATATTTCTTTAAACTCTTCTCGCAAAGGTCATAAATCTCACAAATCTCATAAATCTCATAAATCAAATTCCTTAACAATAAATAATAATTATTCTCGATTAAACGATGACAATAATAACAATAATAATAGTAACAAAGATAATAATAATAATAACAACAAAGATAATAATAATAATAATAACAAAGATAATAATAATAATAACAACAAAGATAATAATAATAATGAAGATAATTCCATGACAGGATTTCTTCAACAACAAGACAATTATTGGAATACATCAACTTGGAATGACAATCGATCTGCTTTTTTCGATCAACGTAAGTTTCTTATTTATTTTATTTATATATATTTAATTAAAATATACATTTAATTTTAATTTAAAAGTATAAATTAAAAAGCATAAATTAAATGTTTATTAAAAGTATAAATTAAGTATAAATTAAAATATTTAATTAAAAATATTTAATTAAATATTAAGTAATCATTATTTTATTTAATTATTAGACTTTGAAACATCACCCACACTGGCGATACCATTATATGAACAACTATTTGATTCATTTTATTATCACACTTCTACACACACCGATCCTAATAATAATAATAATAATAATTATAATAATAACAATAATAATAACAATTATTCTAATAATAATAATAATAATAATAATAATAATAATAATAATAACAATGATAATAACCATCATTCTTCAACTTCTTCAACTGGTGTTGATAATAATTTGGGTATAAAAGAAATTCCTATTGTACCTAATAATACTCAAGATTCCAGAAGTTCTATGGGTTCCATTTCCTTATTTCCTTTATTTCCATCTTCACCTCCACCTCCTTCTTCCACTATTAAATTCAAAAATTTATCAATGTCTACTACTACTACCACTACCACCATTATCAATATCAATAGTAACGATGATAATAATAATAATAATAATAACGATATTAATAACAATTAATAACAACAACAATAATAATAATAATTAATAATAAATTAATAAGAATTAATAATAATAACAATTAATAATAATAATATTATTATTATTAATTATTATAATAATTGATAATAATTAAATTAATAATAATAATAATAATAATAACAATTAATAATAATAATAATGTTGATGATGAATGGATTAATCAACTACAAAATACTATAATAACAACAACTACTTGAGAAGATAAAAAAGAAGAAGAGGAAGAAATTGATATTTGGAAATTTTTATATCAACAACAAGAGGAAAATAATAAGCGCACCATTTTAAATGTGATAATAGAAATGGTAGTATTTGATAATGAAACTGTTGTTTTGATTGTGATAATGATTATGAAATGAATTGTATGAATGATGATACAGTGGATCAAGATGATGATTATAATTTTCTTGGTTTTGAAATATTTAAATAACATTTTTCTTTATATATTTTTCTTTTTCTATTCTGTGTTTTTTTTTTATATTTTTAATTATTTTGTTTTTGTATTTATATTCATATATATATTTCTTTATTTATATATTTGTTAACAATATTTTATTATAATATAATTATTTTATTTTATATTATTTCTTATTTCAAAAAATGTGATAATATGATTAAATTAGAAGACTTTATATTTATTATTTTTAATATTAAAATAATAATAAACACTTTTTTCTTGTAAACGGATTTGAATGAATATTTAATTTCACGTTTACAAATATACATATTTTATATTAAGACCCAAATAGGTTTTAATTGTTTTACTTTGATTTAATTGTTTTAATTGTTTTAATTGTTTTAATTGTTTTAATTGTTTTAATGTAAATTTTGATTTATTTATTTTTGATTTTATTGATTTATTTGATTTTATTGATTTATTTGATTTTATTGATTTATTTGTTTTATTTGTTAAATTTCCCGGAGACGATCATCGCGAGAAGAAACAAAAAGAAATCTGTCATCACCGTGAGACAAAATCTATTCTCTTTGTTGAAATTGTTCAAATAAGGAAAATGTACCCTTAATCTTCTACTGTACTTTATGTACTTTACTGTACTTTATTGTGTTTATTGTACTTACATTAATGCCAGGGGAAGATCAAGTGAATATTTTTAACCGGATTTTTTCATCTAAAATAAGTAACGAATATCTTGAATTTATTAATTATTATTATTATTTTATTATTATTAATTGTATGACATAACTGTACGTAATGTACCGTTTCAATTTTTCAGTTATCACAATTATTTTATCTTTTTTTTATTTTAACCAACTAAAATAAACAGTAATTTATCACGGTTATCATTTATCAATAGAGTTTTTTGTATTTTTGTATCTTTTTTTTTTTTTTTTTTTTAATTCTCCTTTTGTTGTATTGTCACTATTACTTTATTTATTTAAAATCGTTATTCCGCATATTTTTAAAAAAAAAATATTTTTTTAAACTGTTTCTCGATTTTTTTTTTTTGAAAATAATTTATTTATGAACATATTATTATTATTATCGTTAAATTTTCATTCTATTTCATTAAATTTCACTAAATTGTTCATTAAATTTTCTATAAAATTTTCAACTAGAATTTTCCATTTAAATTTCTCACCAAATTTCAAGCATTAGATTGAATGCCTACTAGACGTGCTCCAAGTTCTTCACTTGAGTCAACTCCTCGTATTACGAGGAGTAGAAAAAGAAATGAAAATATTAATAACACCAATAACGAAAATAACAACAACGACGACGAAGATAATAATAACCACAACAACAATAACAATAATAACAACAACAATAATAATTATAGTAATAGCAATAATGGAGAAAGTAGTAATTCTCTAAAATATACAGCATATTTAAGAGAAAGAAGACTAGTTATTCCTCCTTATGATGATAGTTTAGAGGAAAATCCAGAAAATCCTTTTGCTCGAGAAGAAATCATTTTTCAGGCAATGTCAGAATCTGATATTTCGTCTTCAAATTTAACTCCTAGTCTTCCAAATAATAATACTGATAGTAACACTAATAATAGTTTTTATTTTGATGATGATGAGGATGATGAACAGATCAAATCATTTTTAAATAATGATGATGATAATGATATTAATAATATTAATGATATTAATAATATTAATAATATTAATGATATTAATGATAATAATAACATTAATAATAATAATAACATTAATAATAATAATAATAATAATAATAATAATAATAATAATAATAATAATATTGTTGGTAGAAGTATTAGTATTAGTAGAGTTAGTGATATTAGTAGTGATGATAGTGGTGGTGTTATTGATGTTAGTGGTATAAGTAGAATTGGTGGTTTTGGTAGTTGGAGTTGGAATCCTTTTAAAACATTAACAAACATTTTTATAATATTATTAGCATCTATACTAAATATAATAGGTTCTACTTTTTTTTATATATATTGGATTTTAAAAGAATCACCAGGTTTCATTTGGAGAAATTTAACTGGAAATGAAAATGGTCCTTTCTTAGAGACAATTGTAGGTGTTGATCGTGGTAATAGAATAATATCACGTTTAGATTCTTTCGATTCTTTGGATTCTTTAAATCATTTAAATTCTGATAACATAACGACTCCGATTCCAGTTACGACGACAAATTTAATTAATCAAAATAATTATAATAACGATAACAATAATGTCATTAATAATAACGAAAACAAGAACGTCATTAATAATAATAATAATAATAATAAATTATTTATATTACTTTTAATTTTATCAACAATATTATTAACTTTATTTACATTAAGTCTATTCGAAAATCAATTCGTTGTTGAATATTTTCCACAATTTCGATCCCCAATCAAAATTCAAATATGGCCTTTATATAATTCAACAATTTTAATAAAATCATTAGAAGAGAATAAAGATATATCAACTGATAATAAGGGAGATGGAAGTAAAACGGAAATATTTACAATGGATGATTTAAAGAAATTAATTGCATTAGAAGTAAGTAATTTATATAAAGAAACAATTGGTACATCATCAATTGGTCCTACACCGGAACATCTTCGAACAATGATTTCACATGAAGTTAAAAAAGAAATATCATCACAAAGAGCAGATGCTCCAAGATTAAGAGGTAAATATACAGCAGAAGAAATTATGGAAATTATACGTAAGGAAGCGAGAAAGATAGTTTCCGATGAATTATTAGTATTTTCACAAGATAAATTAAATGTACCAGATTTTGCTTTACATTCTGGTGGAGCAAAAGTTATTAGTCGATATACAAGTAAAACATATGAAGTTTGGCCAGATAAATGGTATCATCGATTTTTCGCTCAAATATCTGGTCAAGGAGTATTAAAAGGAAAACCACCAGTTACGGCCATATCACCTGATACAAATGTAGGACATTGTTGGCCATTTTTTGGAACTCGAGGACAATTAGCAATATTACTTAATAGACGTGTTCATGTTACCGCAGTTACTTATGATCATGTAAGTAAACATGTAGCGGTAGAAGTTGAAAGTGCACCAAAAGAATTTGAAGTATGGGGAATAATTGAAGGAGGTAAAGGTAAAACAACCAATAGTAATAATGATGATGATGATGGATTAATTAGGGATGATGATGATATATTTGAATCAACTGAAGAAGAATGTGGAATACGTGAAGATGGTCAATATGAAGAAATTGTATCTGGTCACAACAATAACAACAATCAACACAACAATAATGATAACAATAACGACAACGATAACGATAATAATGTAGATCTTGGTTCACCTCTTGATAATAGTTACAATTATAATAGTAGTAATAACATTGTTACAGAAGGAGAACTTAGACTTGGATTATCACCGTTTCATCTCTTCTTGGGACGTTTTACTTATAATATTAATGGAAAACCAGTACAAACATTTGAAATCCCTCCAGAAATTCTTAAAAAGAATAAACCCGTGAGAGTAATTATTATGAAGGTTTTAAATAATTGGGGAAGACCAAGTTATACTTGTTTATATCGATTTAGAGTTCACGGTGAACCTGTTGATAAATCTGAGATATAGAAGAATATTAAGATATTTATTATTATTATTATTATTATTATTTATTTCCTTTTTTTTTATTATTATCATTTATTTATTTATATATATTATATATATTAAAAATTTATATATTTATTATTTTTTTTTAAAAAAAAATTTATATATTAATATTTATTTAAAATTTTAAATATTTATTATATTTAAAAATTTGTATTTTTTTTTTATTTTCTTTTGTATTTAAATGATTTGTATATATATATATATATATATATATATATAATATATATATCATATCATAAATATAATAAAAAAATTCAATGTGTAACATGTCACGTTTAGATTGTAAAAATTATTTAGAATTGTGTAATGTTTTCATAGAAGATGAAATTATTATTTTACTTAAAATCCAAAATTTTTGATCACCAAGATAAATTCTTTGATTAAAAATATATTAGACTGAATACTTTTTTTATTTCCATATTTCAAATATTTATTTTATTTTGGGAACACCCCTAAATATGGGCCAATTGTTATGATGTGATGTGATTATCATATGGGCCGATTTGGGGGTCGTTTAAAGTGGAGTTAAATCATGTGATGGTTTTGTGATAATTACAAAGAGAAAACTTAACCTGAACCCCAGGGTTTAGATTGTTTATCCTAGACCCTAGGGGTTTAGGTTATTAGATCTGGACCTCTTTCCTAATTCAGAAAT